ACTGTATAACTAATTGTTCAAATCCTTGGTTCAACTTCATAATAAATTTATATTTTTCAATGGCTTGATCATTTCAGTGGGTTTGAAGATGTCCACAATGTAATTCTGGCAGCATGAACCAACATGCACAGTTTAGTGAATTATACACTTTCAGACAGATGATGCAAATTCTGATATATATATATTTTTAATAAGCTCTGAAAAAGATCTGTTGTGATTGGTCAAAATTAGTGGAAAAATTGATCAGAATTGGGCTGCCTGTGTAAACGTAGCCATATTGCTTAACCTTAGTAGCTGTGGTTTCCCTACAAAATAAAGTAGGTTATGATAAACCCAAAAAAGTGTCTTTGTGTTCTCTTTCTCATATGGAGGTGTCATCTGATTTGCTGTTTTGAATCAAGTTTATTTGTTTATCCTGGGAATGTGAATTTCAGCACAGACATTTTTAAGATGAACTTGTACTAGATTTTACCACTCCTTAATTCCAAGTCAATTCCACCAGATACAGTTTATAGTCACCACATTATGTTTTCTACTAGAGAAGCCTTTGTGAGTGAGGAGACCATTGTTATCAGAATGCTAATTAATACCTAGGAGAGAAAGCAGGGATTCACCCCACTATAAATGTTAATGATCTCTTTGACGATGTTCAGGAATTGACAGATTGATTGATCCAACAGAAAACCTTAGAAGAAGCTCACCAAGGGTGTATTCATTACGCCGATTCTGTTGCAAAACATTTTGCAACAGACAGTTTACTCCAAACTGAAAATGTTTTGCAACGAAAACGAGAGTTTGCATTGGACAAATTCAGGTAGGTCCCTCCCCGTTGCGTTCTGTTTTCCCTGTTTGCTTCCATTTGGTTCTTACGCAGTAAACAGTTTCAGTTACAAGGCGTAATGAATACACCCCAGATCTCAGCAGTGTGCTGGGATAGCAGGAAAGTAGGCACTTATCTAGTTTGACAGGCTCCAAAGATTGGATAACTGAGATGTCTCGTCAACACAGCAGGCTGAGGAAATACAACATTCTGAGAGATTACAACTTCAGGCAGCCGCATTACTTATTCTTTGGTATCATGGTGTTATCACATTTTGTTTGTGCATGCCGCCACCTACTGTGCGGTAGTGTGTGTTTAATTACTTAACATTTGTGATATAAAAAGGGGGGGGGGAATAAAAATGTGCAGCACAAACCAACCCTACAGCTATATACACACCACTATTTCATTAAGATCTCAAAACATCTTATAACTCTTCTGCAGTAAAATCTCTTACACCCAGGTACTTGTCTGCAGCTGCAACCTATACTCATTAAAAACCCACTGCCCCATTCCACTACTTTGATCCTATCTGCTCCTGCCCATGCAAACGGCCTGGGAGGACGCGACACCACCACTCAACACACCCTGTAACTATTATTAAGTCAAATCTCGTATACCCAAAAACTTCTCTGCAGCTACCACCACAACATATAGTTCTGTTATTTACGTTCCATTTACGCGGTACAGTTGATAACCATTGCTATGAACACTAAGAAGCGAAACTTACTGAAGCATATACAGTATCACTCGTTGGCCTATCCCTCTGTGCTGGCAAAAATCTACTACTCACTTAGATCCTCTCAGGATCCCTCACCCTTGACCCATCCTCCTCGACTCAGCATATGACACCTTCTGCACTACTCTGACCACTTCAACCTGCCCCAAAACCCTGTGGTGCAAATATTCTCAGCTCTGTCTTTCCTTCCATTTTCTCTGTGGATTTACCCCCGACTGTTGGCCTCCCTCAGTGGTTTTCTAGTGACATTTATTTGGATACATCCATAACAATGAGCTAATGAGGCGCGATTTCGCCTGGCATAGAGAATGTGCTCACTCGTCAGGACACCGGACACTTCCGATCCCCAGCAACATGGGCACCCTTTCATTTGACACACACAACTTTATCCAGCAGCCACATTAGGCCTTGTATGCAGGCTATATAGTATAATCATTCTCAGTAGTTCAATTGTTGGCTCCTTTATATCACATTCATTTTACCACTGTTTTATCATACAAATAAAGAAGAATGTTCTGTCTTATGCAAAGCACTTTGGGCTTTTTTTTTTTTAGGTCTGTAATCATTACGCCTATTCCGTTGCAAAATGTTCAACAGAAAGTTTACTCCAAACGGCAAACGCAAATAAGTTTCTATTGGACAAATTCAGGTAGGTCCCTCCCTGTTTTGTTTGGTTCCGTTTGATTCTTCAACGGTTTCCGTAATGAATACGCCCCAGGTTTCTAATTAAGTGATAATGCCGGGGCCTAACAATATGGAGGACTAAAAGTGCCACAATTAAATAAATAAATACACCATTAAATAATTACTTAAATGTGTCATTAATTAATTAAAATTAGAATTAAATACATAAATGTGTAATTAAATGTATCATTAATTAATTCAAATACCGATTCATTTTATGTAAAATACATATATAATTATTTCACTATTTACATTTACATTTCATGATCCTGCATTGCAGTGATTCATGAATTACTTGTGGTCCTCTGTAGCTCAATTGGTAGAGCACGGCGCTTGTAACGCCAGGGTAGTGGGTTCGATCCCCGGGACCACCCATACGTAAAAATGTATGCGCACATGACTGTAAGTCGCTTTGGATAAAAGCGTCTGCTAAATGGCATATTATTATTATTATTACTTAAAACTGTCAAACTGACCCATCAAAGTCAGTGGGCGGGGCTAACGCGAATCTAGTCTGATCCATTGCTTTGGTCTGAAGTAGAGTAGGCCAACCTGGATAGAGACAATGGAGGATCTCCGTGAACTTTCCAGGGAGTTGGTTAGAGACATTTTAAACTTAGCAGAGGATGTAGAAGCAGGACCTGCTGACATTATCCGGAATTGATTTGTCTTGGCTTGATGCAGAGGGTAACCAATCAGGCGTTAGGTTCCGCCTACCAACTTTTGATGGGTCAGTTTGACAGTTTTAAGTAATTCAGGAAGCACTCCAACGCAGGACCATGAAATGTAAATGTAAATAGTGAAATAATTATATATGTATTTTACATAAAATGAGTCGGTATTTGAATTAATTAATGATACATTTAATTACACATTTATGTATTTAATTCTAATTTTAATTAATTAATGACACATTTAATTAATTATTTAATGGTGTATTTATTTATTTAATTGTGGCACTTTTAGTCCTCCATATAACAACACCCGTGCCAATATATCCAACACCGGATTCGAGGGCACTATCACTTTTATACAACGGGTTACCAACATATTCAAATAATGATTGACATATTTTCATTCAAAACGTTAATCTATTCGTACTATTTCATCCTTCAACAAGATATAGTCCCGACACAAATCTAGAGTTGCTAGAGACGCGACCCAGTCATTCGTTCTTTTTGTTCTGTATCTATGGACGCGACCCAGTCTTAAATGTTCTATTGCCATACTGCCTGGCAACGTTCTTATCCCTTGCTTGCTAGCTAGCCAACTACGGCTAATTTACAGTCATGTCAAAAATTTCCGCCAGAATAACAACAAAGTAGCTGCATCTGTATTTGTTTAAGCTGTTTTCTAGTGACATTTATTTGGATACATCCATAACAATGAGCTAATGAGGCGCGATTTCGCCTGGCATAGAGAATGTGCTCACTCGTCAGGACACTGTTGTTCAGAGGAGCTACCCAACAACACAGCTACAGTAACACAATCACTTCAAACTGAAGCTGGAAAGCCTGCAAATTAGCTGCGTTTCGTTTTACCTTTTTTCAACTTACATGTTTTTGTATATAACCATAAAAATGATGCGAGCTGATTCGTGATTTTGACCGGCTGAGAAACGCTGCCTGCCTTTGTCTCGTCCTGACACGTTCAATACTATGGGTCAGCAGGAGATCGAATTTGAATATTGTTGCAAATGTCGGACAGATAGCAAGGTTTAAACAAATCTCCACTGTTGAAAACTAAATGTTAGTCTAAAAGAAATGTGAGAATGTCTAGATGCTTTTTATAGTGGAGATAAAGTTTATAAAGTGCCTGACTGGGTTGATGAGACAGTGGAACCAATGTGCTATATTACAAAAGCAAAGGGAACAGCTTTAATGGAGAGGAGTTGTCTTGTAAATTGGAGCCTCAATGTGACAGCAGGTGACCATAGTCCCTTGTCTGTGAGCTGGGTAACAAAACCCTGTGGTGCAAATATTCTCAGCTCTGTCTTTCCTTCCATTTTCTCTGTGGATTTACCCCCGACTGTTGGCCTCCCTCAGTGGTCAACAGACCTTACCATAAAATGGAGTCAAAGCTCACAAGATAACATTAAATGATAGAGTACTGCCTACTGGAATATAATGTCCAAGGCATTAGTGAATATAATTTTCTACAACTACTCTAATGAGGGTCATCAGCTGATCTACATTCTTGATGGTTCTCTAGTCAATATGCATGCATTCTGCAATTTTCACATTTATGAACTCCTAATTCATTAAAATAAACAACAAAAAATAACACTTCAAAAAGGTGAAATGTGTAACGAGACAAGTAGACGTGACATAAAATGACAACGCAAACATTGGTTAAAACATGTGGCTTCCACAAGAAGCATATAAGGCTAGAAGATATTCACATTTGATAGAGCCTAGGAACAAAAATATTTAACAATACATAGTGTCTCTGTGCTAGAAAAGTGATTGCCAGGTCGCAAATAGGCCGTGACACCAACTGCAATACAATGCTGTCTGAATCCTGTGAATAAGAAAGACTTTCCACAGTGCATACAATGGTGGGAAGCTGTCACAGGTTGCTGGGGGAACCTTTGGCTTTTGAGCTTCAATAGGCACAACATATCTAATCCATGTGATTTAATTTAGCAGTACCACTTTTCAAGGTGCATAATCCATTCCACACAGCTTCTACTGCAACCCCCTAGTATTCAACACATGAGGGTTTTGTGTCCTGTATTGAGGTAGTGATGCCATTTGATCACATGAAGCAGAATAATTTCTTCCACCTGCCGCTAGAGAAAGTCTTTGCACGATCAAATAGTTTGAGCTTCTTTGCTTTCTGACAGGCCTTGTGCTTGATGGCAGCAAAGATAGCAGAGTCAAACGCTTCTTTGAGGTTCTTCTGGGTCAGCGCGGAACACTCCACATAGTCATGGGCTCTGATCTTCTCTGCCAGCCGCCTGGCCTGGGAGTTCACCACTGGCTTGACCCTCAGCTGGTCCAGATGGATAAGGATGCTAACATCATGTCGGAGGTCCGACTGGGTCCCCACTAGAATTATGGGTGAAGCAGAATTGTAGGTGCGGAGCTGGGGGATCCATTTTGAAGTGATATTGTGGAAAGACATTGGGTTGACAACACTGAAGCAAAGGATGAAGACATCTATTTGATTGTAGTACATGGAGGAAAAGTTATCAAACTCCTCCTGCAGAAAATAAGGAAATGGCAGATTAATTCATGGTATAAATATATATTCACTGTAGCCTACATTTAGTGCATATGTTGCCATACTGTATTTGGTAGGCATACTCATGCATTATTGATGTAAAAAAATAAATTGGCCTAGTTACCTGTCCTGCAGTGTCCATCAACTGGATTCGTACTGGAATCCCATCTACTCGAACCAATCCTGTAGGATAGAGCACATTTCATCACATGCAGTCTCAAACCCTCTTTCGCTCGCCCAAATTACTGCCACTGTATGGTAGGTAAAGGATGCAAAAGATGTAACTCACCGGTGAAGACATCAAAGGCCGTCTGACGGTATTCGTTTGGGTATCCATTTGAGATGTAACTTATAATCATGCTTGTTTTCCCCACGGCACCATCTCCAACCAACATACAACTAATGATTGGCTCCTGGTGCTTTTCTTGGGAATCAGGGGCCTGCGTCATCTTATCTCCGCTACTGCGTTCACTATCTGGTGGCATTTCAGCAAAAAACTTAAATCCATGTGAGCGCTAGCACGGTTTCATGCTGCATCAATAGCTACAGTGTCGGCAAACGGACATCAAAGCGCACATGGTGGAAACAAATGTAGCAGATACTTTGTCACCTCCAGTTTGAACGAACAATGCCGCCCAATCAGGTTACAGCCCTCAATTCAACGCAAACTTATTTTCACATGCTTGAATTTGCATAGTCACTCCCACAGCTGCCATCCGCCACTTGACAAAATGCCAAATCATGTGATCGATGCCCTGGCTACTTTATGAATTTCAGTGCAAAGGATAGCCTACTGTACGAATTTCAGCGCGAAAGGCTACCTACCTCTCCAACCAAGGTGCATGATTTGAGAAGCAAACTTAAGTGAAAACTTAAGTTGTACTCTGTAGCTCAATTGGTAGAGCATGGCGCTTGTAACGCCAGGGTAGTGGGTTCGATCCCCGGGACCACCCATACGTAAAAATGTATGCGCACATGACTGTAAGTCGCTTTGGATAAAAGCGTCTGCTAAATGGCATTATATTATATTATTAAAACGTAATTCAGCAACGCTTTGCTGCCAGTGGAAGTTGATGAGGGTTTCTTCTTCTTCAATGAGGTTTAACGGCGGTTGGCATCCAATTTGTTGCATTACTGCCACCTACTAGACTGGAGTACAACTCCCTTATCTTTTCCTTGAAAAATAAAATAAAACAAAGCAAAGAAATACCCTACCATCTAACATTACACTCAAAACTATTACTAATAATTAACCCCACCCTTCTCCACTATTTAAATATACTCACTCCTACCTCATGCCCTCAACCTGAAATGATGGGACATCACCACTTAACACTCCCTGTAACTCTTCTGCTGTCCAAGTCTCGCACACCCAAATATCTCTCTGCAGCTGCCACCACAACCTCAATTTTCTTCGACTTACATTCCATCCCTGCAGTACAATTAATAACCAACGCTATAAACGCTAAAAATCCAATCCTACTGAAACATATATCACTTGCTTGCCTATCCTGGAGAGCTACGTTCCTGTAGGTTTTCACGCCAACCCTAGTTGTATCTAACCTGATTCAGCTTAACAACCAGCTAATTATTAGAATCAGGATGGTAGCTCTCCAGGAGCAGGGTTGGAGAGCCCTGGTCTAGTCTATTCTCTCCCCACTTCTATTAGTTGACACCCTTGTTTTGCCTCAGCCTTTTGCCTTTAAGAGAATCGTGTATTTTTACTTTGTATGTATGTATGTAGGGTCCGACTGTGAAGATGTTCTGATACATGATGGTGTGCAACGTGTAACTCTCACTGTTTGACAGAGTCTGTAAAAGCCACACTGTGTTCATGGTTTGATCAATCAGTTGGCTTGTGAATCAGCATGTACTTTGTGTGCAGATTTCTGTAAGATGTAATGATTCACATTTGTCATGTCTCCAAGAACATTGTGGTGATTATTGTTCACCCTCGAGGAAGTGTGGTTTTTTTGTGTATCCGCATTCCTCCTGTCAAGTCGACCGTTTTGGAGTTGAAACACTCAGTAACTGCTCAGGCACTAAAACACTGCCTGAGTGGCGCAGTGGTCTAAGGCACTGCATCGCAGTGCTAACTGTGCCACTAGAGATCCTGGTTCAAATCCAGGCTCTGTCGCAGCCGGCCGCGACCGGGAGACTCATGGGCGGCGCACAATTCGTCCAGGGTAGGGGAGGGAATGGCTGGCAGGGATGTAGCTCAGTTGATAGAGCATGGCGTTTGCAACGCCAGGGTTGTGGGTTTGTTTCCCACGGGGGGCCAGTATAAAAAAACAAACATGTATTCACTAACTGTAAGTCGCTCTGGATAAGAGCGTCTGCTAAATGACTAAAATGTAAATGTAAATGTATCCCACTGTACTGGTACATATCTCCTACTCTCACCACTTCCCGACCCCTCTTCCTCTACTTTCTTCACTGCCTCAGCATATGACAATTTCTTCTCTACTCTTACCCTGGAAACCTCAACCTGCTTCTCTCGCACTGGACATGTCTGATCCCCAGCCCCATGGCCACCTCTACAATTAGCACATACCACCACTTTCCCCACTGCTTCACACTCCTTTGTCTCAAGCCCTTCTGCACACTTCTCACACCTTGGAATCTCCCTCCTACATACTGCTGCCACATGCCCATAAATTTGACACCTGTAACATCGTAATGTACTCGGCACATAAGCTCGCACAAGATAACTTATAGATCCTAATTTCATTTTGTCAGGCAAAGACTCAACTTCAAAACTCAAAAGAACAGACAATGACTATTCTGTTTCCCCACTCTCGCCACCCTGTTTGCATCGCACCAAACGAAGAGCATCACACACACCGGGAATCTTCTCCTTCAGTTGATCCACTTTTACTGCTACCCCAGTAATCACTCCTTTCAATGGCACCCTTTTCTTGAGAGCGAAACAATTCACAATTCTTTCCCCCATTTGTTTAACTCTGAGCGCCTTCTCCTTCTGCCCAACAGAAACACAAAAAAGTATCACTAGACCACTTCTGGTTACCCTCACCGATTTCACTATACCCAACGCTTTTTTTCACCCATATTAAAACCACAAATGGATCAGCCAAAAGGCAAGGATCCACTTTTTCCACAAACTTCATTCCTACTGTCACAGACTCATCTTTAACCTGACCCTCTGTGCAAGCCTCTGGCTCCGAGCACTTCACCACACCTACCACCTCCGATACTTCACCCTCATTCACTTCCATTTCTCCTCCTGTCTTCAGGTCACTTTGCTTACATTTCCTACCACTCTTCTTTAACAAACCTCCCCTTTTCCCGCCATTTTCCCCCGACTCAAACTCACAGTCTTCCTCCCTCTCTCTCTTAGACCTCCTCTGCCTCTCTTTTCCCCTCCATTCCTCCTCATTCATCCAAGTATACATCTCCTTACGATATTACTGCATTTCTCCTAACCAACATCGGTTTCTTGCCTTCTCAAAGGACTCCATTTCCCCCTCCTTTCCCTTCCGGCGTCTATTCTATCCTCTGGACTTGTGTCGACATCTTGGCCTGCGTCTTCCATCGCCCCTTCCACGTGCGCAAACGCCGATTTCAAAACCCAGCCGCATCCGCGGAAAGTCTCAAATCAACTCTAGCTCAGCTCGGAGACCTCGCTCCTGATGAGGGCTTCTTTATTGTTTCGGCTATTTGTCAAAGTTTGCAGAGAAATGAAGGAGGCTTTTATATATTTCAGAAATGGCCTATGGGTTCAGGGACAAATTACAATCGCAAAATGATGTGATCGGTAAATTAGTTGCAAGGTCAGGTGAACACATTTACCAATGAGGGAGTTCTCTTAATACTGATGGTTTGTCGGGACTCATGGTTTGTTTACATAGCAGGTTAGGAGAATGAACGTAGCCGAAGATGATCTATTATATAAGATAGTCGACTGACCGCTCTAACAATAGAAATACATGTCTACAAAGGCGAAAGGCAGGCGGGAGGATGCGGGATCAGGTGGGAACATTATAGCCAATAGAGTGGTGAGGAGGAGTAGCTCCGCGGACCTTTAGTGTCCGAAAGTAATTTAGCCATTCATTGTAGTCTTTGCGATCTGTAGAGTTGCTATTTTCTCGTGTCATTCCTGGATTACTCATATTAATAAAGTCCGATTTAATCAACAAGTACGATAGTCAGTTGAAAAAAGGTTAAGGGTACAAGACTGTGTACATATCTAGCTGTGTTAGCAAAATCACTACATATCCCATCGTACGAAGTGGGGAGAGGCTTCCCGTTGTCACAGTTCCAAGACCAGTCAGAAACGTCCAGCTAACCCTACGCCAATGACGCCAGTGGATCTCAAAACTGAACTTGGGAATCCTCTTTAAGTAGCAATTATGTCCTTCGCTACCGTCGACAGATACCTCGAACCAGTCATGACTATTCAACAAAACAATACTTAATTTAAATTTGTATGGATATTATGACATGTCCACTGTGGTGCTTTATACAGAAAATGAATGGTGAATTCGCTTCTATGAAAGGGCAGATATGGGTGCAGACCAAACTCCGATATAAAATAGTGATGGGTCTTTTGCGAACGAACAGCTCTTTTTGAACGGTTCTTTTTGGTGAACGTCGGGAGCTGAATCGCATCGGTGAAAGAGCCGTCATTTGGCTCCCTGATTTGCATACTGCTAGTGCTGCTTTTTTTTTGCTCAAAACAACGTTTTTCTGCAGATAAATTACAAAATAATTTGTGGTGTCCAAGACAACGTTGCTAATTATGCTGTGATGATAAGAAGTCCGCTTACACTGTACTTTGATTATAAAGATTTTATTGTATCAAAGATCACAGTATCAATTTACAGATATCTGCCAGCATCTGGAGAACAACGGCCCAATCTGTTGTCTCTCCCTCCTTTGTCTCAACCAAGTATTTATATCCTATGTAACATAATATGGCGTGATTTTAATAAACCAATCCCTGGCCTCTACATAGCAGACTCTCCCAATGTCCTCTATTCCAAGAAACCTATGTAGTAATGCTTTCCAGATGTTTCCGCAAGCAGAGCCAAGTTCATCCATTACACCATTTGCAAATGTCAGCAAAATCATAGACCCTCAGACACTACATATTTCCCCCCTTCGAGACTAATTAAGTCTCGAAAACAAAAAGAATAGGATTATGACAAATAAAAAAATGTATCTTATTGAGTAACTTCAACAATAAACCAAATTTTATGGAGAGTAAACACCTTTTTCTATGGAGTGTAAATAAATTGTTATGGAATGTAAATAAATTGTTATGGAGTGAAAGAGCGAAAAACCTGTCTGGCAGCTTTCATTCCAAATATCCATCTATCAATCAAGACAGGAAAATTCTCTCACGGCCCCTCTGCCCCAGGCAACCACCTAAGTACTCCAGATCAATCTATAAATCTTTATCAATGCATTTTAAGCTATGATGCAATTGAATACACATGAAAACCTAAGCAAACAAAATACAATA